AAAATAAGACACATATAAACAGATCCTACAAACCCTTTACAGCATCACTACACGGCAGTTCCAGGGAACAGATGGCTCTGTAGAAACAGCTGTATCCCCGAGAAACCCCAGAGAAACCCTGGAGTGCATCATTGCTCTCACATGCGAGCCGCGTGTCACCAGCTCCTTCATCACGCAGTTGGGCAGCGGAGCCCAGAGTGGATGGCACTTAGAGTCCCATGACAGGCTGCCCAAGGCCAGCCTCCCGTGACCCTCTTTGGCATGTTAGATCTCAGAGCTGAAGCATCCCATTGTTTGCCTGGGTGGCCAGGAGAGGGGATGAAGAAGGAACCCAGGGTCCAGAGACTCACAGGGTCTGTCTGGGCCACAGGCACACACCCCTCCTTCACACCCCTGGGCTCTGATCTATCCAAACATCATCTGTCCAAACCAGACAGGTGCTTGACTCTCCCACATCTTTGTCACAGACCTCTGCCTACTTTTACTTTTGCCCTAAGTGGCTCCTTGCATGAAACATAAGAGGAAAGATCTGGAGCAACATTGCCTTATGTAAAATGGTAGGAATACTCCCTATGGGATTTCAGGCCACTCAAACTCTGTGCCTCAGTTTTCTCATCTGTAAAATGAGAACCAGACTGTATAAACAATTTAAATGCAGACACTGGGGTTCATTCCACATTCCTAGCATGGGGCTTGGCATAAAATAAGGGCCTATTAATTGTGTGGGATGTTCACATTAATAGTAATACCTGGGAAGGAACAGACCATGCCATTTTCTTCTTTATTTTCTTAGAGCCTCAGTCAGTGCTAGGCAGACATCTCTGAACCTTCACGGAATGGTCCTAAGCCCATGCCTCTCCCTTCCCGTGAAAGAATGAAAGTGGCCCATGGTTTGGTCTCCTTGGAAAACAGTATTTTGGGTTCTTGGAACTTTGATCATTAGTACACACAGCAGGCAACCAGTGAGCTGGTAATCTTTTTCTGCCTGTCCGCGTGGTTTAATAAAATTTAACCACTTTATGGAAACCACAGGGAAGAATCGTGAATGAGGTTCCAAGAGATGTGTTAAGGGCCCCAGCTTTTCTGAGCACATCCCTGGTGCCTCAGTTTCCTCATCTGTCAACTGGGGGCAAGAGGGTAGCCCTCCTGGTCTCATACACTTATTGGGAGGGACAGATGAAGAAATGGATATCAAGGCTGCTGAAAGTGAAAAGTGCTGAGAGTGTAAAGCAACACTCCTGAGTGTTATTTTATCCCAATGTTTCTACCCGATGTCCTAAGGCATCAGAAGGACACGTGTCACAAGAAGGGGTGGCCTTAGAGACTTCTGAATTGGTCTGTTGCACTGTCTTCATCACTTACTGACTCAAAGAGTTCAAGTAAGCATGTTAGTTAAGGGAACACAATTACTTATCAAATGGGCTTGGGGGGCTGGAAATTTATGACTCACACAAAGTCCAAGTGGGTGTTCCTAATTGGCAGGTGGCTCTTCTCCATGTTCAGGGTCCAGACTCCTCCCTTCTTGCGGCTCTGCCCTCCATGGAGCATCCTCCACTAGGTACTCTCGCTTATGCATGAGACAGTAAAAAATGGAGCCTGTAGTAGCCAGAATCTACCCACATTCTACTGACCTGAACTTGGCCACTTCTCTCAGCCTGAGCACCAAAGATCTCTGTCACCAAGGGGGACACATGATTCAGAACTCTACAGTCACTGAATCATCTAGCATTAGACCCAAAGGTTGATGAACAAGGCATTGCAGTGACTTTATTACATACAAGAACTTGGAGGAAATACCACTAGTTGTGAATCTCAGCTGCTCTGTTCATTTCCTGTGACCTTGACCAAATGACCAAACCTTTCAGATGATGATCGTCTTCGTCCGTAAAACAGGACTGCTGGCGGTCTGTGACCCATGTGAGTATTAATGAGGAAGTGCCTGCAGCACTCTCAGCACTCACCTGGCCTGGTGAGCACATGATCCTTGCAACCCAAAGTCTTTGTCCTGCTCTCGGGAGAAGTGACTTGCTCCAGGTCACATAGCAAATGAGGGTCAGAGAAGTCAGGCCTCATTGCCCACTGATCCCGATATCTCTCCATGTAGTTTTTCCCGACTTTGAGCAGAAGTTCAGAGGCCAGAGCCCCAGGACACACTTCCTATCGCTCTAGAGTCCGCAGGCATGACAGCCGTCATCTCTGGCAGCTCAGGGGTCAGTCTAGGCCACTGTCCTTAAGGATGGGAAGAAATAAATGCAAACGGCTTAAAGGCCATTTTCCTTTGAGTCCAAATTTCCCTGTGCCTCAGCTGGCTGCCCAAAGAAGCAATTTAGCAAATGCTTTTTATCTCAGGAGGGATCTGTCTTTTGTTTCTGCGACTTGCTGGTCGGGAAACCCCCTGCTCCCCACATGACTGGAGTGTGGAGTGGGGGTAGCATTAAGACCCTGTTAACAAAAGCCACACCACCCTTGCCCTCCGGCTAAGCATCTCCCTGGAGATATTACCTGGATGTGAAGGAGACAGGTTTCAAGCTGCTGAGTCTTCTCCTTGGGATCAGCCTGAAATCCCATCAGCCATGCAGGCAGCAGTGAGCAGTCCTAGATTAGAATTTGAAAAGGAACATAATGCAATCATAATATTTCTGAGGTATGTGTAGCACTCTACAGTTTACAAAGCACTTGTACATGCATTAGCTCATTTGAGAAAATTGAAGGGAATTACTTAAGTACAAAAAGTATAACAAGGCCAATAAAATTCATCTGTGAATCCTCGACTCAGAAAAAAGCTTGTTAACATTGCAGTGGATTCCCTTTGGTCTGTTTCTGCCTGGGGTTGGCTGGTCTGTCTTTTCGCTGTGTTGTGATCATACTGCAAATGCATTTTTGTGGCCTGCTTTGTTCACGCAGCATGCTATCTTCCACCAGCACATTTGACCTTCACATCCATCCCCCAGGAGAGAAGTAATTGTGTCGTGAGATGTCGCTGGTGTGAAAGGTCCGAGGGCTGGATTCACAGTCCAGACTGCTGCTCTCTAGCTGTAATTGGCAGGCGACACTTTCTGGGCCTCAGTTTCCTCCTTTGTAAAACAGAGATCTGTGCTGAAAACAAAGCGGCGCATCTGATTTAGCGCTGCACCTGGCACACAGTAGATGCTCAGTCCATGTTAGGACAGAGGTGCAAATCACCATACTGATAAATAATATTAAAACTCAAGGAAAGGCACTGGTTGGTACAGAGTCCCAGACTCTAATGTATGTCTGATGTCATATCCACTGGGCTCTCCGCAGCCCCCTGTGTGGCTGGTAAACAGCAATGTTATAGATCCTAGCCTTTAAGCATTGTGATGGTTAGGGGTGACCTTGGGAAGTGGCTGCCACTGAACCACATCAGTACCATGCAGCTCCTAGTGGAGGAGGAGGCTACTTATCCCCCAGGACTGCTGGTAGACCCTCTTAGAAAGTGACTCTAGAAGCACTTTCATTGGCCACCGTTCCCTTTCCCTTTCACTTAGCTATGAGTGGCTATGAGTATATCCACTAGAGGCTTGCTGGGCATGCAGATCAGGGAGGAGTCCTGTAGGCCAGGAGACACTGAACTTAATCCTGCAGTCAGAAGGGGTCACCTGGCTCCTAGGGCCTTAGGCAGAAGGAAAATTCTAGTTCCCAGCCTTATATCAGTTAGTTACCCTGTTGGCATAGAGGGAACTTCCAAATAGGCAAGGACATCAAATTGGTCTTGAGAAGCTGAGGAATATCCCTGACTGCATCCTTTCTAAAGGTTAAAAATGTTCAAGATAGCTGAGCATGTCTCATAGACCACTGGATCACAACTGATTACCCAAGTGGCCTTTGGGAATGTATGGGAGCATTTGGAGTTATACTCAGTCATCTGGAGAATGCTATGATCATTTATTGGGCTGGGGTCCAGGAGGCTAGCCACCCTGTGTTGCGTGGGACAGACTCATATAATGAAAGTGACACTATCTGTCATCTAGTGCTCAAAACCCATAAAACCTCAGTGGTGCACAGAGAGAAGCGTGAACAGTGAGAAGTGCTCGTGGAGGCAGCTCTGCTGACCTTGGCTGGGCTCACTCCCATGACGGGCAGTCGGGGAGACTCCACTCTGTTCCATCTGTCTCCTTTCCCAGCAGGCCAGTCCAGGCATTTTCCCAAGAAGTATGCACTTCCTCTTCTACCTGATCCCTCAAGATTGGGACATCGTTGCTTCCCCTCATACTGTTTGCCAAAGCAAATCACAAGTCCAGCCAAGGAGGTTCAAGGATTGGGGAAATAATCTTTGCCTTTGAAGTAGGCAGCACCAAGAGTCACATGACAAAGGGCAGGGGGAAGTGAAGAAACCGCACCATTTAACGCAGTCAGCTGTCAGAGTACACATCTTGAGAAATAATATCAGAGTTTAACCCAGCAGTTCCCAACCTTTTTGGCACCAGGGACTGGTTTTGTGGAGGACAGTTTTTCCATGGGCCGAGCAGGGGTGGGGCAATGGTTTCAGGATGGTTCAAACACATTACATTTATTGTGTACTTTATTTCTAGTAGTATTATATTGTGATAGATAATGAAACAATGACACAGCTCACCATACCATCGCATCAGTGGGAGCGTTGAACTTGTTTTCCTGCAATTAGACAGTCCCGTTTGCAGGTGATGGGAGAGTGATGGGAGCCACTGTAAATACCAATGAAGCTTTGGTTGCTCGCCAACCGCTCACCTCTCACTGGGCAGCCTGGTTCCTAAGAGGCCACAGACCAGTACTGGTCCAGGGCTTGGGGACTCCTGCTTTAGCCTATCATGGCAATGGTCTTAACTGATAGAAATCATATGAAAATCATATGAAGTCATAGAAGTCAGGATCCTGTCCTTCTCTGACCAGCCGATCAACAAGGTCCAGCGGATAAGAAACTCAGGGAAGGACAGGGCATGACAGGCCGACCCCCTTGGGGATCCCCTTCTTGTTCCCAAGCCTTCTTTCCTACCTTTCAGCTCCAGAAGCAGCTCTCAGAACTGGACGAGGATGACTTGTGTTATGAGTTCCGGCGAGAGCGGTTCACCGTCCACCGAACCCACCTATACTTCCTGCACTATGAGTATGAGCCCGCTTCAGACAACACAGACGTCACCCTGGTCGCTCAGCTCTCCATGGACAGGTAGGCAGGCGGACCCCGCTGCCCGCACAGTCCCCTCACTGCTGCCCTTCACCTGGAGAAGGCAGAGATGGCCCCACCAGCTTGGCACATGGAAACCTGATAATATAGGGCTTATGTCTCATCCCTTCTCCAGCACTGAAAACCAAGGGCTCCTGTATTTTGATGATGCTGGTTGTTTTTGAGGATGGAGGAAGAACTGATTCTAAAAACTAGAGCTCTAGTCAAACTACCTCAAGGAAAAGGGAGGTGTATTAAAAGGAAACACCTGGACTGGACCCACAGTTGATGTTGGAAAGCACCTGCTATTTCTTTTCTTACACATGTGTTGATGCACGGGTCATTCTTGGAGCCTTTATCAGGAACTACTGATGTGGTCCCTACCCTCATGTGGCTTACAGTCTATTGCACTGATTCTCAGCCTTAACTGGGGACAAATCAAATTACCAAAGGAGCTTTAGAGAAAAAAAAAAAAATCATGGTCCGGCTCCACTGCAAACCAGTTAAGTGAGAATCTTTGTGAAGACCTTGCATCATTTTAGGTTTGCCATGTGCATCCAATGTTGATAATATGGGACTGGTAAATAGTTAAGTCAAATAATTAACATTGTGATAAGTGCTTTGAAGGAACAGAGATCGATATTAACAATGTCAAGAGAGGGACCTTCTTTAGGTGGTATGATCGGGGGAGGTCTTCCAAAGGAGGGGACATTTCTGCAGAGCCTTGAGGATAAGAAAAGGAGTCAAGCATAGTGGGGGTGTGTGAAAGTATTAGTTGCTCAGTCATGTCTGACTCTTTGCGACCCCGTGGACTGTAGCCCGCCAGGCTCCTNATGTCTGACTCTTTGCGACCCCGTGGACTGTAGCCCGCCAGGCTCCTCTGTCCATGGAATTCTCCAGGCAAGAATACTGGAGTGGGTAGCTATTCCCTTCTCCAGGGGATCTTCCCGACCCAGGGATGGAACCTGGGTTTCCTGCATTGCAGGCGGATTCTTTATTCTGTGAGCCACCGGGGAAGCATGTGCATTGCAAAAAAAGAAAAGTTTTCCAGGCAGATAAGCTAGCAGGTGCAAAGGCCCTGTGGCTGGAAAGCCTTGTGTATCCAGATACCCTGACAGGAGACCAGTGTGGCTGAAGCATCACTTGAGAGGGACTGGAGATGGAAGCTGCATGAGGTTAAGATTTATAAACATTAGAAACTCGTAAAATATTTGGATTTTATTCTAAATGTGATGGGAATTTATTGTAGAAGTTTACGCAGAGTTTTTGCTTTGGTTTATGTTTTTGAAAACATCTCTGGCTGCCAGGAGGTGAGTGGATTCAAAGTCTTCCAGGGTTATGCAGTTTTTCATTTCTGGCTGTCCTGTGTGCTTCCTGCCCACCTCTGCTAGCCAGCTTCCTCTTCAGTTTACACACGGTGTGCAAGTGGCTGCCCTGGCCCCGGCTTTCTCCATGGCATTCCCTCTCGACTCCCATAGTTAGGAAGGGAGTTTGATGGCCTCATTCTGTCTTTGAGCCACTTTGGAAATGCCTGTGGATACGATTTCATGGGGTGGTTTTAGGAGGCAATAATAAGTTCATGCCTTTAAAGTGCTGAGGACAGTACCTGGCACACTTAGTAAGTGTTCAATAAGTGTCACTTGTGATTAGTCACGAGTGGTTGGAGAATGAGCAGAATGAAGAAGCAAGCACGGGGACATGAGATGGTTCACAGACAGTAAGCAGCCTGGGAGTCCCAGAGAGTGGGGGGACCTGGCCTCCGGGGGCATCTGGGAATGACGCCTGTTGACAGTAGCTGTGGAGGCGGTGAGTCCCACTGCTTCTTAGCAAATGACAGCTTGTAGAATTAAATCGCTTCATGGCTAGTGGTTTCCTGGAGATACACAGACTCCAGAACACCTGTGCAGAACTTGCTGGCCATAGTTCAGTTGCTAAGTCGTGTCCAGTTTGCAATCCCATGGACTGCAGCACACCAGGCTTCCCTGTCCTTCACTATCTCCCAGAGTTTGCTCAAACTCATGTCCACTGAGTTGGTGATGTTCTCTAACCACTTCACCCTCTGCCACCCTTTTTCCTTTTGTCTTCAGTCTTTCCCAGCATCAGGGTCTTTTCCAATGAGTCAACTCTTTGCATCAGGTGGCCAAAGTATTGGAGCTGCAGCATCAGCTTCCAATGAATATTCAGGGTTGATTTCCTTTAAGATTGACTGGTTTGATCTCCTTGCTGTCCAAGGGACTCGCAAGAGTCTTCTCTAGCACCACAATTTGAAGGCATCAGTTCTTCGGTGCTCAGCCTTCTTTATGGTCCAACTCTCACATCTGTACATGACTACTGGAAAAATCATAGCTTTGACTATACAGACCTTTGTTGACGAAGTGATGTCTCTGCTTTTTAGTACGCTGTCTGGGTTTGTCATGGCTTTCCAAGGAGCAAGCATCTTTTAATTTCATGGTTGCTGTCACTGTCCACAGTGATTTCATAACAGGTAACAACAAAGATGGGATGAAACAAATGGGACGAAATGGACAAGTACAGAGGTTCTGGCACCAGCTAGGTCCTTGACCTGCTGTGTCCTCTCAGGAAAGGTCTTTCTGTTCTCATGACCCCAGTTTTCTCATCTCCAAAATTCACATGATCTCTCAGCAGATACTATGTAGGCATCTATTACTGTGTTGTGGCCGACTCTTGTGGGGCTGGGAATATATAAGACCCTGTTCCGCCCTCACAGAATATGTAGTGAACTCAGGACTCAGATCATGTATTTGTTTTCTACTGTGGTTTAATCAGTCACCACAGATCTTGCAGCTTTAGAAACACACTTTTTTCTTATCTGACTGTGTCATGAATCAGAAGTCTGGATACATGTTAGCAGGTTCTCTGTCTCAGGCCTGAAATCCAGGTGTTGACCGGACTGTAGTCTTACCTGGGAGTCAGGGTGCACTTCTAAGCTCATTCAGGTTTTAGCAGAACTCAGCTCTAAAACCAAGGTCCCCATTTCCTTGCTGGCTGTTAGTTGGGATCCTTCTGGGCTCCTAGAGGTCACCCTTAGGTCTTAGCTGTGTGGAGCAGCTTACTTCTTCAAAGCCAGTAGGAGAATCTCCCCAGTCTGTTATATGACGTAATCACAGCCGTACTATTCTATCATATAGAATAGTGCCAGGTTCTGCTCACACTCAAGGGAGGGGTGATCCAGGACCGTATACCAGGAGCTGGGGCAAGAGTCTTGGGGCCAGCTCAGAATTCAGGCTGCCACAGGCAGGGAACAGGTTTGACAACAGACAGGTGCTATGAGAACCCACGGGAGGAGCCCCTGTCCCGTCTGGGGCAGAGAATGGAAGGAGTGGGGAATACCCCCAAGAGAGCTTCTGCCTACATTGAGCTGGAGGCTGAGTGGACTGACCGTAGAAGCCTTGTAGGGAAAGGAGGAGCCCCCTGCAAGGAAGCAGGACACCAGGCCGCTGGGATGCACACAGTTGGGCTTAGGTGCTCGGGTGAGGAAGAAGAGAGCAAATGATGTCAGCCAGGTGAAATAGGGGGATAAGGAGAGGAAGACTTGGGTTCAAAGTCAAGTTGCACTACAGACTAACCATATGAATTTAGACAAGTTATTTAGGCTGTTTGCACCTCACTCTACTTACCTGTGAAGTGTCAATAATACTGTTCATAGGTTACCATCTGTGCTTTGTAAAGTAAGAGACTGGAAAGTACCCGGTGATCAGCAAATGTGCCACAAACACTAGCACAGTTCTCTTAATGGTTTTTACCTTTATGCTGGCTATGGCATTTGCAACCTGGAATCCACAAACAATTAGAAGGAAAGGACTTCAGAGGCGGTCTAGTGGTTAAGAATCTGCACTTCCACTGCAGGGGACACCGGTTCAATCCCTGGTTGGGGAACTAAGATCCTATATACATCGTAAGTGCCCCCCCCCCCCAACAAAAGGAAAAAAAATTTAATTATTAACAACCCAAATCCACCCTTATGTATATACTTGTTATCAACGAAAGAAAGAATACAGACAGGACAGAGCCCCTCCTTCTGCGGCTAGCCCTGAGCATCCTCCGGGCCTGGCTGCAGGAGACCTGGCACCTGCCCTCACCACCCCTTAAAGACAGGCCAGGCACCTCTCAGCTCAGCTGCAAATAACAACCGCAGATGCCTTCCCTTCAAAGCACACGCATCCCCCAGCATGGCAGACGTGTGATCCCCCCTAACGCATTGGGACAAGTACTGCCATCCAGACAATACCTCAGAGAACTCAAGGAATTCCACACCCAAGCAAGAGACGCTTCGTGGGACATAATCAGGAATTATAAAGCAGTAGCACTCAAGCTGATGCAGACGGCGGAAATGCCTCCTTCCACTCCACCCCACACGTCCAATTACGATGCAGCGGCTGACTGGTGCCTCTTGGATTGATTTTTAATTGAAGAAGCATTTTGGGTATGTTTGTAAACCTCTGAGTCAGAAGGAGGCCCTACGTGAGTGCCACAACGCATTAGGGGAGCCGGCATGTGGGCTCCTGTGCGTGGCTCCCTCTAGAATTCCATTCAGAAAGAATGAATGTCGCCTGCTGCAGAGGTGGACCCAGCGGGGCTGCTCCTTGCCCGGCCACTCACTCCGGAGGGTGGTCGAAAGGACAGAGGGAGCTGGCTAGGAGGGATCCTGATTACAGCATCCCTGCCACCTGGCCGGGAGACGCTTGCTCTTCCCTGCTTCTTGAAGGAAGCCCTTGAAGTACCAGCTGCAGTTCCAGGGGCTCATGTGGCTGATGGGCCTGCTCTGTTTTCTGCAAGTGAGGGAAAGAGAACATGAGCTGAGCTAACGGGGTCCCATTCTTAAGTCCCATCGCAGCACAGCGTCTCTTGGGACCTTGTTAGAGCACATATACACGGATCTCACCCCAGATCTGCCCAACAGGGATCTCTGCAGTGGGGCCCAGGAATCTGTGTTGTAATAAGCCTCCTAGGTGACCCTGAGCCTGCTGAAGCTTGGAAAGCATCATTCTAGAGAGTGAAAAGTACTCCCTTCACCATGTGACAGCCAGGGCGATCTTTATATATATATAGAGAGAGCAGGTCACATCATTAGAACACTCTGATGCATTCTTATTGCCTTTAGAATGGTCTTAGAGCTGCCCACCGAGACCTTGACGTCCCTGTATGAGCTGATCCCTGACCATCCCCAAACACCTCTCTCCTTCTGCCCCTCTCTTGTCCATATGCCATCTACGCTGGTCCTGTTTCTTCTTGAGAACACACTAAATTCTGTATCCCAAGGGCTCCTCCATCTTGGAAAACTTTTCACCCAGGCTTTCTCAAGATCGAGACCAGTCTTTCTCCTTGTCCAGGGCTCACACTGACCTTTCCACTTGCCCTCACCCTTACTCTTCATCCCATTTCATGTTCTGTGGCCCCTCTAGCCCTCACTTCACTCTGATCTTATCTTGTCCTGCTTATTATCTTCTCTCCAGAAGTGCATTCGAAAACCTTGTCTTTCTCATTCTGGGGCCCAGCACAATACTTGCATGTTGTAGATGCTCAGTAGATATTGCTGGAGGTGTGCGTATTTGAAAGGCAGGAATCACAGGTGTCAAGTACCAAGCGTAGATGTGTGCTGTCGCTTCAGTCATGTCCAACTCTTTGCAACCTCGTGAACTATAGCCCACCAGGCTTCTCTGTCCATGGAATTCTCCAGGCAAGAATACTGGAGTGGGTTGCCATGCCCTGCTCCAAGGGATCTTCCCAATCCAAGGATCGAACCCACATCTCCTGCAGCTCCCACATTGCAGGCGGATTGCACCAAACAACCATTTTTCGAGGCCCCTGCTTGTGTCACATTTGTTAATGTCCCATCAACCAAAGCACGTCCCATGGCCAGGCCAGAATCAGTGAGGGGGAGGGTAATAGCAAAGCATGTAGATAGAGGGGGAAGAGTTTATAGCCAATTTGTCATTGACTAAGGTATTATTGTCCCCTATATGCATGTGCGGAAATGGAAGCACAAACAACATGATCACTTGCCCAGAGATACTGACACAGGTCAGAGTTCAGACCTAGTTCTGCCTGAGCCCAGAACCCTCAGTTTCCCTCTGGACCCCTCAGCCTGCCTTGCTCAGGGTACCAGGTTGGAGTCATCTGCCTTGTAGGGAGCAGGTTCCCCATTCCAGCAGAGGCTGAGTGGCCACCTGCCTGACTGCTTGGAATGACTGACATTCTAGAGTTCCTTCCAAGCCCAGTCTTCTAGATTTTGGACTCGGCCATCTCCCTGCCTGCTCCCTGACACGTCCACAGACTGTCTGGGGCTCCCTGTCTCAGTAGGACCCCCTGGGGGAAGCCCTGCCTCTTTCAGACATCTGAAAGAGGCAGGCCTTCCAGACATCTCTAGGCATTCCTGAGCCTTTGCCCTCCTCTTCCCAGCATGAAGCGATGGGGGGCATGGCGGGGGAGGGGAGAGCAGGGGCAGAGCATCAGGATGGGTCCTGGTGTCAGCTCGTATGCTGCGTGCTCTTCAGCAAGTCAAGACCCTCCCTGAGGCTGAGCCCTTTCATCATAATGATGGTGTAATCAGACTGAAAATCTCAGAGGTTCTTTCCAAATGGATGATACTGCAGTTGCAGAATTAATCTTTGTCTCTTGAAACCCTCTCCATTGGTCCAGGTCCTTGATATGCCAGATTCTTATCTTCCTACCTAAGAAAGACTCAGCACAAAACTCGGTGTCAACAAGAACTACACAGGGACAGACCTTAGGGAACAAGTGTGTTTGGGGGGAAACAACCAGGAGAAGGATGAAGAGGATGGGGGACCTCTGACCCCAAGAGAGACCAAGGAGGAAGAGGAGGAAGAGGGAATAAAGGGAAGCTGATGCCAAGCTTAGACCAGGTTCTAGTTTGGGGAGACAGGTGATGGGAACATCTTTCTCAGCCAAACCCAGTTCATGTTGACTAGTGGTCTGGATCCCGGGCGCTGGAGTCAGACCTGGGTGTGTGGATCCAGCCTGTCTACCTTATAGCTATGTGACTTGAAAGAAGTCGCTTCTCCTCTTGGAGCACCCTCCCCTGTAACACAGTGATGAGAATCTGCACTGTGTTTATAGCATTACTGTGAGTCTTAAAAGTGCTAACAGCCCAAATGTGGCTGGCATGCCGTAAACAACAGCTATGTGGTAGAGATTTATTGTATCATGATCACATTCTCTCTATTATCATCATCATGATGAACCTCGGTTTGTCTATCTGCCTGTTGCTCAGATCCCAGCAGGGAGCTTGGTTTTAAGGGACAAGAGAGATTGGAGCCGGTAGCAGGAAGACAGGAAGTGGCCGAGCCATCACTCATTTTCACTCACTGAGGTTTTCTGGAACCTCTGGCGCTGATTCCTGTAAAGTCCACGTGGATGTGATGTTTGTCACATTAGCAGCACCTTTCTCCCGAAAACCCTAAGTATTTTGTGTCTCTGTCCTCACTCTAAACTCTTTGCTGGGGGGAAGATGAGCTGGATCAGGCAGGGCTTGCTCCCTGCTTAGAAAACTCAGACACAAAATCCAAAAGCAGGTCAGTGGGAGAGTCCCCAGCCAAAGTTGGCCTCCCTTCACACTCAGTCATGCCTCCTGCATCCCATCCCCTTTAGCAGTTCTGACATCCACATGGATGCAGAAATTATCCTTGCCCTTTACTCCCCAAATTTCAAAGGCTTTGTATAAACAGCTCTCATCCAATTGCAGAGTCCTTCCATTTTGCAGAGACTGAGATGCAGGTGGGATCATTCAAAATCCCAGGTTCTCAGAGCCCAGCAGAAACCAGGGGCCTTGTAGCAGAGGCAGAACACAAATTTCAGTGAAATCAAGCATTGTGGAGAATATAGTGCCTCTTTCAAAACTGGCTGTGGTCAATTTGATTAACAAGTGCTATAAAGTATGAGAAATGGAGGGCATTTTACCCCATGAATACCTTAATCCTCCTTAGTGAAAGAGGAAGCAAATCCAGGCAATACCAATTCACAGAATTACTGAGAGGAAACTGAAAGTCCATCAGGAAAGCCATTGACACAAGATAGGTGTGCCCATTTACTTTTGTTTAGAAGCATGGAAATGCATGGAATCTATTTCCTGGTAATTGTCCAAATAAAGTGAGCATTCTGATTCTGTACCTCTTGCTGGGTAGGGGAAAAAAACTGAAATAGGCTTTTGCTGTTTTTTTAACCATAGATTTTATGTAGCAAGCACTTCTAATGCTTCTGGGGGAAAAAATACTTTTTTTCTAGATGTCTCTTCAAGCATTTTTGCAGAACCCTCTTGGTTGGGAGCACCTTTTGTTTTTTATCTGGGGTTCATTTCCCCCGCCCCCACTCTCCATGGCCCAGTGTCTCCAGGTAGATTTGCAAAATTGCAGGGTGACCCGGAGCAGTAAGGGCTCTGAAAAATAAAGACAGCATCACCCCAGGCTCACTTTTGTTTCCAGCATTCACATGTTTTGGTTTTTTTTTCCTTCCCTTTGCCAGTGTTTTCTTTTCACTGTCTTCAAAGTTCTGTCCTTGTACCTGTGCACACAGTCCAGGTCCAACACTAAAGCTGAATGGACACCTGGAGCCTCAGTTCCTTCATCAGGAGAATGGGGGGAATGACAGATGAGGGGCACAGGGTCTGGGAAGTGCCTGGTGCATAGTGATGAGTTGGTCATTGTGGTTATTATTACTCTAATGTTTGCAGCTTGCTTTCATGCTCCGTGTAACTCATGGCCTCCCTTTGGCCAAGCCTCCTCTGCTGGTCGCTGCTTCAGGAGAGTAGTAGCACTGCTGTCTACCTTTGCTGAGCGAGAGGGGGAGGTGGGGAGTGTTAAGCTGGAAAGGGATCTTTACATCATTCCATGTGCTTTTCCCACCCACTATTGAAAAGAGGAGCCTGAAAAGGCTTATAGTGAAATGTGATTCTCTCCATATCACCTGTCTGGTTGTAAACATTCAAAGGCTAGAAGCAAAAAGCCGAGTGTTTTGTGCCCGTTTTATAGATAAAGGAACGGAGGTTTGGTGATTGGCCCCCGTCACACAGTGTTTGACTAATCCTTAGAGCAGGGGTCTGGATTCGGCACCCGCCCCAGGCTGGCGGACGATGGGCAGGTACGCAGATAGTGGTTGGTTACGCCGGTGAGGCCCGCGCATATGCAGGTGCGTCAGGTGTCCTTTCCTCTTGCAGGCTCCAGATGCTGGAGGCCATCTGCAAACACTGGGAGGGGCCCGTCAGCCTGGCGCTCTACCTGTCGGACGCCGAGGCCCAGCAGTTCCTCCGCTATGCACAGGGCTCCGAGGTGCTCATGGGCCGCCACAACGTGGCCTACCACATCGTGTACAAGGAGGGCCAGTTCTACCCCGTGAACCTGCTGCGCAACGTGGCCATGAAGCACGTGGGCACGCCCTACATGTTCCTATCCGACATCGACTTCCTGCCCATGTACGGACTCTATGAGTACCTCAGGTGAGGACGCGCGGGGTGCGGGCTCCAACGCCCCCTCTCTGAATGGGGCGGCTGGAACCCAGAAGGGGACGGGAACTACCTAAATCCACCCAGGGATACGGCCCCTGACTGCCGGGTTTGGAGGGGCCCCACGGCTACCCAATGCCTTATTTTTCTGACTACTGGCTTGAAATCCCAGTTTACCTCATGAAATGTTCAAGGCAGAGCTTGGTCTAGAAAGCATCTCTTGTCTCCCAGTCTAATGCTCTGTCTATAGCTTTCATGAAAACATCCCTCTTCTAATTTTGGATCAGACAGCCTTCATCTAAGCATTCTAGTAAGATCACTGCCTATTCTGTAAAACAAATCAAAGTGGTGGTGATGGCTAACATGCATTGAAGTGCTCGCTGAGTGCCTGGCACAGTTCTGAATGCCTGACAAGTGGGATTTCATTCCCTCCCCTTGCAATCCTTGCCACAGGTACCATTATTAATCTTTGTTTTCCCAGTGGGAGACTGAGGGGCTGAGATGGGGAGTTGGCATGTGGGGCTGCATACCTACGAAAGTGGGAGCCGAGGGCAGCCGGCCTAACCCCAGGGCCGTGCACTGATCATTGCTGCTGCCTTGGCAGCTGTGACGCCCTTCCAGCCCTCCTAACGTGGAGGGCAGGGATCCAGCAGCTGGAGAAAGCTCCCGACTTGTGAGAGGCATAGATGGCTGTGTGGGGGGGTGGCATTTGTTGTGGAATAACAAACCATCTGAAGCAGAAGGGACTGTAGAATCCACCTAGCCTGAAAGTCCCCAAGCACGCAAACTGAAGTCACAACATGTAACTGGTCCAAGTTTGCTTTAACCCTTTATCCCTGTCATATGTCAGCGTGAGTTACCTCTGCTCCTGAGTACCCTCCTGACCCAGGTACCACAAGAGGTGGTTTGCATGTACTGTCCTGCTGGATCCATACGGAGTTTAAAAGGCAGGTATGGTGACACTCTCCCTGCTCCTGTGAACAGAGAAGCTCAGGGAGGCAAGGTAACCTGCTCAGGTACGCCTGGGCTGCGTCAGGATTTGAACCAACGTCCTTCGGACCCCAGCTCTACAGACTGCCTGCTTCATACTTGTCTGGCTGCTCTGTGGCTACCTACTGTGCCTGGCAGAGCAGGATCAGGATTCTTTCTCGCCTGGTCTCTGGCCCTCCCCACTTCCCTCCGCCGTGTGTATCTGTCTGTCTCTCAGTCTTACAGTCTTAAAAGAACTCCCACAAGAGTCTTTAACCCTTTGTTCCTGGAGCCAGAGTATGTGTTTGATGTGAGCACACCCGTCCCACCCCCCCACCCCCNCCAAAAACTGTTTTATTACTTTGCCTCATGGTTCTCGTGATTTGAAAAACATTACACATGAACAGACTATTCAGAATGTATTTTATCTTCCTGTGTTTTATTGATCAAAGCTGTCAATAATTGCTAATCATGACCTTATCCAATATGATATAACTGGTATTGCCCATTAATTAGCACTTTCTTACTGCAGAGTGACCTGAAGTTTCTGTTGGCCTGTAGCCACATCAGAGGAACATGTGTGGTTTCCCTTGTGCATTCTGAAATATTGCAAATTGCCCCTAAAAGCCCATTCCTTTCTTCACAGGCCAAGACCCTGAGCCGAAAATAACTGCTCCTATCCAGTGCTTTCTTTTTTAATTATTTTTAATTGGAGGATAATTGCTTTACAATGTTGGGTTGGTTTCTGCCATACAATAACATGAAGCATCCTTAAGTATTCATGTCTCCTCCCTCTAGAACCTTCTCCCCACCCCATCCCACCACTCTAGGTTGTCACAGGGTACAGCATTAATTTCCCTGTGTTATACAGAAACTTCCCACTAGCTCTCTGTTTTACATGTGGCAATGTATATATTTCAGTGCTACTTTCTCAGTTCGTCCCACCCTCTCTTTCCCTCACTGTGACTACACATCTGTTCTCTATGTTTGTATTCCTGCCCTGCAAATAGGTATATCACTACCATTTTTCTAGATTCCATATATATGTGTTAATATACGGTATCTGTTTCTGACTTACTTCACTCTAACAGGCTCTGGGTTCATCCACCTCACAGGAACTGACTCAAATGTGTCCCTTTTTATGGCTGAGTAATATTCTGTTGTATATAGGTACCACAACTTCTTTATCCATTCATCTGTTGATTCGCCCAGCCTCTTCTCGTGCACATGTGAAGAGAGGCCAGAGAAGCAGAGTAACTTCCTATCTAGGGTGAAAAGATAGTGGGACTTCCCTGACTTTTCTTCTCCTCTGTCCAGAGTTTCCATTCATTTAGTGAGTAACCATGACAAGGTACCTTAAGGCCCCCATATTTGTGACCCACACAGATAGGATCTGTGAATCCCATAGCTTTAGACCAACAGGAATGACGGCTGATTACAGACAGACTCTTTAGGTACCCTGATGGGTGTGTCCTGTCCCAGGGTTGTCAGCCTGATCTGGGGTGGAGACAGTATAGGACAGATGTCCTAGAGAGCTCGACCTAAATGGAGGCCTGAAGACTGAGCTGGAGTTCACCAGGAGAGGGGCGATGTTCCAGGTGGAGAGAGAGATTCATTCTGGAGAGGCAGGGTGGCCAGAGCCCTGATGGGGAGAACAGCAAGAGCTAACGTGGCCAGAAATGTAAGCCAGGGTGGGTCCTGCAGGGCTTCTTATAAAATGTGCTAAGGAGTTTATACTTTATGAGCAGGGATGGAGAGACAATGGAAAAACACTGAGAGCATGGCATGACTAGATGTCCATTTAAGGAAGATCATTTTCATTGCATCAGGGAAGGATCACAGTCAGTAGGGCAAGAGGAGCTAAGTTAGGGGACGACTGCATTCATTCTGGCAAGACATGGAGGCCAGCAAAGGGATCGGAAGTGGCAGCAGAGACAGATAGATGGACCAGAGAGCAATTCTGCAGCTGAAATCAAGAACTGTCTGCAAAGGTGGCTGGGCTTTAGAAGGCGAGACAGGGAACCTCTTTCAAATGTTGCCACCGAAGACTCCCTCTGCAAAAGTCTGTACCTGGAAGTCCTGCCTGCTTTGGCCTGTTTCTTGTACTCGGCCCCTCTTGATCTGCTGTGCCTACATCCTTCTTGGACTGACCAGGATGTCATGGCATTGAGCTTGAGTGTTACAGTGGATGAGGCCTGCACGGTGACCCTGGATCCCACTTGCACCCTGTGCCATAAGTAAATGTGTGACTTCCAACAGTTCGGTTTTTTGCAGCCTGTTTCCTCATTCTGAAATGAAGAAACAGACATATCAGGAGTTGCAAATACAAATGCCCGCTGGGGCCAGGACCTTGGCCTAAAGGAGCCAAGGGTGGTGAGCATGATTCATCACTAGGGAGACAGGAGTCCCCATCTCAAGCAGCTGCCATCTGTGCACGCTGATGTGGAATTTACTGGAGAGGGTAGAGGTCAGGCGTAAGGTCTTTATATTTTGCAAGAGGAATGAGAAATCTGGATTTTCATGTTTTAATTTCTAGTGTTGACAATTTTTTTAAAAAACTGAAACACTCTTGAGTCAGACCAAACATGTCTTCAGGAACCTTCTTACCCCCAAAGACCACCAGTTTGTGACCTCTGACCTTTTAAAAAAATTTTTTATCGAAGCATAGTTGATTTACACTGTTGTGCTAGTTTCTGCTGTACAGCAAAGGGATGCAGTTATACTTGTATTTTTTTAGAGTCTTTTCTCATATAGGTTATTACAGTCTACTGGGCAGTGTGCCGGGCATCTATCTTAGACATAGTAGTGTACATGTGTTCAACCCAGGCTCCTGATTTATGCCTCCCCACCCGTGTCTCCCCTTCAGTAACCCTAAGTTTGTTTTCAATATAAGTCTGCTTATGTTTTGTAAATAAGTTCATTTGTATCTTTTTTAAAAATCTGATTCCACATAAGACTGATACATATTTGTTTTTCTCTTTCTTACTTGCTCCACTTAGCATGTGATCTGAATCAGTCCATGGCGCAAATGGCATTATGTCACTCTTTTTGTGGCTGAGTAACACTCCATTGTATATATGTGTACACCACATCTCCTTTATCCATCCCTCTTGATGGACACTTAGATTGTCTCCACATCTTGGCTATTGTAAATAGAGCCGCTGTGAATGTAGAGGTGCATGTATCCTTTAGGATGATGTTTTCTTTCCAGATGTATGCCCCAGAGTGGGATTCTGGATCATATGGTAAGTCTGTGCTAAGGTTTTTAAGGAGCCTCCGTACTGCTCTCCATTAGTCGTTGTACCAATTTACATTCCCACCAGTAGTGTAGGAGGGCTCCCTTTTCTCCACACTCTCTCCAGCATTTATTAATAGTTTGTAGACTTTTGATGATGACTGTTCTGACCATTGTGAGGTGTGATACCTGATTGTAGTTTTGATTTGCACTTCTCTGGTAATTAATGATGTTGAGCATCTTTTCCTGTCCTTTTTTGGCCATCTGTATGTCTTCTTTGGAGAATATCTTTAGATCTACCTATTTTTTTTATTGCATTGGGTTTTTGTTTTGTTTTTTACATAAAGCTGCATGAGCTATTTGTAAATTTTGGTGATTAATCCCTTGTCAGTGTGACCTCTGATCTTGATCATCCCTAGGAACTAAAATTTTGAGAACTGGTAAGGAATATGATTCTATCAGAAAAAGTCCCAAATCAGCACGCAGTCCTTTTCATGTGAAGATAACCATATTGACTTGCCGTAGGCTTAAGGAAAATTTTTTCAGTGAGTGGGATAGATTTGTTCCTGATCCAAACACTAAAAGTGGATATGTTCGTGACCAGCATTGCATTGGTTTGGGATGAGGTTCAGGGCACAGTTTGCCGTGGCAGCTGTGAGCCCCAACACCACCCCCAAAGATTGACTTCAGCGTGGATATCCAACAAAATACTCTCCCCAAGCCTTGTTAAAGCATTACTGCTAAAAATGATGATAGTTGCTATTGACTGAACCCTTACCAGCATCCTTGCCAGCTGCGTTATATAAATTTCCTCTACTCTCCAACACTTCTTTATGAGGTAAGTGTTATAACAGGTGACCAAACTGATGCCCAGGGAAGTTAACTCTTACTGTCCAAGAAGAAAGGTAGACACCCCTACACTAGGCTGATCAGTAAACGGAAGCAGCTCTATTCCCCCTTGAAACTCAGTATACCAGAGCAGTCTGATTGGCAGTCTTATCAGACCCCCAAATACTTACCCATATCACCTTTTTTTTTGTGGGGGGGGACTACTTGATGACCAAAAAAAGTTCAGCATCCCAGCTCTCCAGCAGTTGCTTAGTAACTAGCTAACATTACAGCAAAAACAAACAGATCAATTGGGAAATAATGAAATGGGCTCTATGCATAGACACAGCTGCAGCGTTTCACTGAAACCTCTCTCCCACCCCCTCCCCCTGGTTCTTCTAAAAAATGAGCGTGGAGATGTGCAGCCTTCACTCCTGATTTCAGAAATGTCAAGTGAGATTCCGCAGGCATGGCGGAAGTCACGCAGACCTGCCTTGGAACCCAGGTTCTGCTGTGCTCACCAAGGATGTGCCTTGGGGCTGCTTGTTTCATCTCCCCAACCCCCTTTCCTCAGTTAGTAAAGGGGCTAATAATAGCTCTGTGGGGGATCTAGTAGGCGTTCAGCAGGAGTTAATTGTCTGTGTTTTGGCCCCTTCTCAGCACACGCAACTGAATATCTCTGCCAGGCCCCCACCCAGAACCCCCCACTCGTGCACACTCTGCTGCCTTCAGGACAGCCTGGCAACTTAGTTTCTCATTTCTTAAAAAAGGAGATCGTTACCATCCACTCTTGAAACTGGTGAGTGAGCACCTACTATACACTCGTGGGCAGGCAGCATCGTGGCTGTGCTGTCCTTGGAGTCACTCAGACCTGCATCTCAACACTGAGCATTCTACCCTACATTCACGGACCTTCCGAAAGGTACTTAACCTCTCAAACTTCCTATGAGTGGGGACCACAAGGTTTCTTCGCACTGAAGGTTC